GTCTGTCTGTCTGTCTGTCTGTCTGTCTCTCTCTCTCTCTCTCTCTCTCTCTCTCTCTCTCTCTCTCTCTCTCTCTCTCTCTCTCTCTCTCTCTCTCTCTCTCTCTCTCTCTCTCTATCTATCTCTGTCTCTCTCTCTGTGTCTGTCTCTGTCTCTGTGTCTGTCTCTCTCTGTCTGTCTCTCTGTCTCTTTCTGTCTCTCTGTCTCTCCCTCTCTTTCTCTCTCAGCTCTCTCTCTCTCTCTCTCTCTCTCTCTCTCTCTCTCTCTCTCTCTCTCTCTCTCTCTCTCTCTCTCTCTCTCTCTCTCTCTCTCTCTCTCTCTCTCTCTCTCTCTCTCTCTCTCACTCTCTGTCGTTTACATGTGTCAAAAGGAGGCAATGCCGCCAGTTTATTGCGCGACCATAGATGGATTTTAAGTTGAAACAAGAACAAGAAGAACAACAACACCAGCAACACCAAGAAGAACAAGAAGAACAACAACACCAGCAACACCAACTTGCCCAACAACATGCCCAACCGAAGAATGCTGTAGTGATCGTGGGAAAGTACTGTATTAGACCTAGTTTCCTCATTTGTGTTTGAAACAACTTTCGTGCATGGTCTCCAAACACATTGTAGGAGAGTCATGTTGATCTGGCCCGATGGCAGGTGGCCAACCAATGACATTCCTGCACCGGCCCTGTGTGCGTGCGTGTTGGGTATGTGTGTGCGGGCGCGCGTGTGTGTGTTTGTGTGATATGTGCGTGCATGCCTGTGTGAATGTCTTTCAGGGTCGTGTTGGCGAGGGTTAGTTATTGTTAACATAAAACGTGGCCCTGGCTACGGGTCAGGCGGACCCTTTCTTCGCCTATCGGCAGGGCAATGGCGAAGCTTTTCCACCGCCGATAAGAGTTGACTCGGTCTCATAGCTTCTCACTGACGTATCCAGGGCCATCGGGTGCCAAGTCGGCCTTGCTCTTAGCTCAACAGCACATTCCACCGTCACTGTTCCCTAGATATAAGAATACTGTGACGAGGATATGCAGCCCATGTACTAGTGTACCTACATTGTACCTGCACAATCATGCACCGCAGAACATATCCTAGTAATACAGTCACTACTATGTACAATGCTGTTGACTCCAGTGGACATGTTCCGATTCCAGTGAGTAGTGCTGGAGTATGGGCTCTTAGGGAGTCTCGACGAGAGTACTCGTGCTGTTAGCATTGCCGGGTTGTATCAAGCCATTAATTTTCGATAACATACTGGCGAATCGCTGCTAACCGCTGAGTGCAGTATAGCCGCTCTCAATTCGGGCACTGACACGACGGTTCCACGTAGGCAGATGACGGGACGCCGAGTTGGACGGGCGGCCGGCCACCGCGCCATTCGCCGAGATTTGGCTCCTGGAGCTCTGTGGGCGGTGATAGCAGCATGAAATAACGCAGTAGATGTGTACACGTGCAGGTGTCTTCCGCATTGGCTGGCGCTAACAGCCGCACGCCAATAGTATAATCAGCGTGTCTCCATCCATGGCACAAACAACAGCGCGATATCCGCGACTGCATACCGTCCAGGAAGGCAGGGTGACAGCGACTGAGTGAGGCATATTGTTTTCATTCCAAAGCAGTGTGGTGCTCTCCTGGACTACCACGCCCCAGCTCTTCCCCTTAGGCCCGTTTAGACCACGACTAGATATGCAACATGATACAGACGGTGTGTTGCACGGTCTGTGCCATTCTGTCATGGACTAGCATGAGGTTTTCTGGTCAGTATGTAATGCAGCCTCTTTTACGGGCAAAATAGATACCAAGGGTAATTTTCACTCAGCCAGTCTACATTAGCATGATTATCTACTTTTACTGACGAGAGTTTATACTCGAAACAACTGCACGAAGGAATTGAGTGTCATCGGATGTGTCGCTTGGCTGGTGGTGTACTGTGTGGCAACGTGTCAAGGTTTCAAATCTTTATTCTCACGAAGGTTGTTGTTATTGTTGGATTGTATTTTAATTATTAATAATAACAATAGTCAGCCCGACAGCAGTTGAAGCAACCGTAGAGAAATGCGAACCCATCTTCGCAGAAGACAACTTAAAACTAAACATCAGCAAAACACAATTTGTAACAATTTGTAACAGCTACAAAGTCAGATGCCTCCTGGAGGTCGGTCAAACTGTTGGGTTCTCGTCTGGGGTCAGCGGAGGACATTGATGCACGTATCATAGCAGCGAACCGGGCATTTTCCAGTGTATCATGGAAACGCCATACCCAGCAGTCCCGCTTAAGCATGTTCAACTGTCTCATTTTGCCAGTTCTCCTATATAACTGCGCGCTATGGACTCTAACAAAAGCCTTAGAAAGCAAAATTGATGTATGGCACCGCCGTAAACTCAGATACATACTTGGAATCATCTTTCCCAATAAAATTTCGAATAATGCTCTTTATGCTAAAACTGCTCAATGCCCAATAAGTGCAGTCTGTAGACGCCGGCGCTTATTATGGTTTGGACATGTCATTCGTGAAGGGAAGGACGCTGTGTCGTACAAAGCCCTTCACATGGCAATGAATATAACAGATATAAAGAAGCCCAGAGGTCGCCCAGTGACCAGATGGGTAGACAACATTAGGAATGACCTTTTACTTCTCAATATGTCTCTTTTGGAAACGGAGCAACTTGCCTCAGACAGAACGCACTGGCTCGACGTTGTCGACAGATGCATGACCCTCATTTGATTTTTCATATGAGCTATATGCGTGCTGTACTATTATTAACAATAGTCACCTAGCAGGACGACTAAAAGTACACGCCTAGATGCTTGCTAGCCATGAAAATAAACCTTCAAATGTCTCTTGAATGATTTATGGCAGACGAGGGACTTGAACTCTTGGGGCAGGACATTCCATAACCTAACATCAGAAACGAGTGCCCGACAGTCACCAGAGACTCGCCTGGTAGCAGGGACAACGTTCGCATTGGGGGGATTGATCCGAATGACACTTTCAGGCTGTCGACATAGGCGCTTGGACAGGAGATTGCTAATTCTGGCGGTGTGGATACGAAGCATGAGGAGGCGGAGTTTACAGCGGGCGTTCTGGATGATGGGACTGAGGCCAAGACGTGTGTAGATGGGATCTATGTGGGAGCGTAATGGCTGGTTGGCAACGCAGCGGATACCTCGCTTGTCGAGGATCGAAAGGTGATGCCGTTCGTGCGCAGAGAGAACCGAGAAGAAGGCATTGGATCCATATAACATGTCAGGCAGTACAAGCATGAAGTTGAAGACACCACTGCAGCTGTACTTATGGTTGATAAATATGGTGGTAAAGACACACTTGGCAATATGGCGGTAAACACACGGCGTGTGTTTACCGCCATATTGCCAAGTGTGTCTTTACCACCATATTTATCAACCATAGGTAGTACAAGCAATCTGTAAAATAACAGTGCTTGTTGCTCAGTTAAACAGGAGCGAATGGCTCGCAGCGCCGTCAGATTCTGGGAGGCCTTCCGTGTGATAGTCGCAACTTGAGTCTCCCACCGATGATGGGAGTCGAGATGCAGACCAAGGTATCGAGCAGTTGTTGTCTGAGGTAGGGGATTTCCATTGCATTCTATGTTTAGTTAATGATAAGGGCTGCCGGCGGGACGTATGTAGTGGGTTTTGGAGGGATTTAGTGCCAATCATCTTTCTTCCAGAAAATTGGCCAGGTTGGAGACCGAACGAGAGAGGGTTGAATTCAAGAATTCAACAGATTGGCTGATGGCGTCTAGTAGGATATCGTCAGCAAACAGTTGTATAAGACCCGACTGTTCCCTACTTGGACAGCATCCAAGAAGGTTCTGAATCATCTGTGTGACTGGGAATCGCTCCAATGGCGTCGTCAAATTCTTTCCCTAGTTTATTTTCATCATGTATTCTATCAATTTCCATCGCTACTAAGCCAGCTTAGCTTCACCATCTCCCGCAGCTGCCGACACCCTTCCTCCATCGTTTTTGCCTCGTTCTGGAACTCATTTCTTTAAATCTCCTCTTTTCGGTTTATCAGTTGTCTGGAACAAGCTCCCTGAGAGCCTACGCGGTGAACGATCTTCTGTTAAAAGTTTCGGTTTCTCCTAAAAGACCGTTGTTTACAGTATAAATTCTCCACGCCGGGAATTCCTGATTTTTCGTATCTAGCGCTCCTACTTGTTATGTATTCTGTGTCACCCTTGTGGGTTTTACTTGTAGGTTTTCTTGAGCAGTGTTTCTGCTAAGTCTTTTCCCTTGTCCCTTTTCACTTCCCTTTCATCTCATCCACCCTTCCAAGAACCCCCCATGACAAGTATCCATTTACTTTTTGGAGAATCCTTCAAATGAAGTCTAAATGAAAAAAATGAAACTAGCTGAGCCGACATTTGTGTACTTTATTCATGCAATGTAAAAACGGTGGAGACGATGTGCAATAAAACGATGAAAATATGAAGAAATGGTGTAGGGAAAAAAATATGGACTCAAACAAGTTTTCGTACAACACTCATCAGGAATCGTCGTTGTACTAAAGGACACTGAAACAAAAATTGAACTATTATAGAAAATCTAAGTTAGAGAAATAACACTAAGAGCAACAACAGTGAAATTTACAAGTGTGAATTTTAATAATCAAAGCGAGAAATGAACAAAGGAGAAAGGAAGGAAAGACAACGTGATAACACATAACAGCAGTAATTTACACCTAGAACATTAACCCTTTAAGGTTTTGACTTTTTAGTATACGGAATGCATATGCCACGGGAGATATAACACACCGCGTTACCTGTTGATATCATGTATATACAAGTTTTGTTTTTCCGAAAGCTATAAGAACACTGCATCAGATAAAAAAAACTGCACTGAAAAAGAGCGATTATGTATGGAATGCCAATCAAATGAATTTTGATGATAGCAAAAAATGCGGTATTCTGACTATCTCAGTCAACTTCTGGTTAGCCTGATGGGGATAATCCGTTTGTTCTACTCTCTGATGCACTCTGCACAATCTACAGGTCGTCCAGGTGGGCCTGGAAGCAATTCTGCTTCTTCTTGATGCAGTAGTGCTTCGGATTGCCTTTCCGATTTGTGCAGACGGAACAGGCATAAACACTCTTCACGCTTTTCCTTCCAGCATCTCGGCAGTATGAGCAATCCCGCCTTTTACCAGTGCTGACAATGCCATGGTGCTTCTTCGGAGACTTGGCCGTGCTGGTCGATGGTCCAGGCTTTCGAAGGGGCACCTTGGTCTTGTCAGTGATGTTCACAAGCTGCCGGATAACTGCAAGACGATAGTCAAGCTGACTGTAATCCTTCGGCATTTTGATGACGCCTGGGTTTTTAGCCACCCACTGCTGAAAGAGAACCCATGAATTCACCACAGCTACATCCACAAAGTCAAAAAACAGAGTCTTCCAGTACTTGCGTGTTTTCCGCAGCACCCTGTACGTCGCTACGTGCTGGTCGAACAGGTCCACTCCACCCATAGCGAAATTGTAGTCATGTATCAATTTTGGCTTCTTCAATTCCAGGTCACGCAAGATGTTATTTTCTTTCACCTTCCTTGTAACATTGACATAGTCAGCAGCGCTGTGCATAGTGGATATGACTGTCACCGGACGTTTGTCCATCCATTGTAGGTGAAGGAGGTCTCCACCGCGTACAAACCGCATTTTCCCTCTTTCAGCTCTACGCTGAAACGTTTTCGTATTTTTGAGGACAGCAGGGAAGCCCCGTCGATTGACCTGACAGGTTCCAGCAGCAGCAGTTTTGTGATTTTCAAAGAGGTCAGAGAACAGGTGAGGAGAAGTGTAGAAATTGTCAGTGTATAACTTATATCCCTGGCCGGACAGAGGTTGAAGGAGTTCTGTAACAATATTATGTGCCAAGCCATGCTCCACTTGGCCGGCATGTTCACGGCCAGTGTAGATTTTGAAGTTATAAAGATAGTGCAGGGCACTGTCGCAAAGGGCAAACACTTTGAATCCAAAGCGAACAGGCTTGTTTGAGATGTACTGCTTGAATGCGAAGCGTGCTTTTGACTTGACCATCCGTTCATCGATCGCAATACTTTGGAAAGGCTGAAAAAGTTCCCGGCACTTCTGCTAGAAATGATCATTCACCAAGCGGACTTTCCGTAGCTTGTCAGCCGCATCCTCAGTAGTAGGGTCGACAATGTGGAGGAAACACAGCAGAGCTTTGTAGCGAATAAAGGTCGGGATCATATGCCGTGCCCACAGCCCATGAAAGAGAGTAGATGTGCTCCAGTAGTGAGATAGATGTGGCAGTCGAGCAATACCCATGTAAATTGTCAGGCCAAGTAGAGCATAAATTTCCGCTGTGTCCGTGGGCTTCCAAGCGCCATGGTCATCTTGATAGGATGGTTTTTCCAGGATGTGGATACCAGCATTATCATTAGTAAACTCCACAATAGCTTGAACGATGCCAAGTGTGAAAAAAAGTTGAAAGAAATCCAACTCCTTCACAGGCGCAAAATCAGCTGGGAAATGGCAGCCAGGTTCACGGGCAGGACGAAACTCAGGCTGGTCAGGACACTCATCATCACTATCCCAGTCGCCGACATTGTCTTCGCCCTGCACAGGAGCGGTTGCGGCACCTCCGCGCACAACTCTTCCACGTCCGCCGCCTGCAGCGCGAACTCCGCCAACTCCGCCACGAGGAGCACACGGAGCTCGAGTTTGTCCTCTCTGCCGTGTGGGAGCTCTGCTCTCGCGTCGCGGGCGCGCCTCGTCCTCTTCACTGGAATCAGCTGATGTGTCACTCGAGTCAGCTGAGGAGCGTGACAAGCCAGCTGAAAGCGGTTCTTCTGAAGCTTCTTCTTCGCCATCATCAGCGCTGCCGTCAGAGACCAAATCTTCAACTGGATGGTCGTAGATGAGAGCATCGTCTAGCTCTGACTCTTCGCTTGATGGCAGGCCACCTGACGACTCGCCATCAGAGTCTTCATCGTGCGCGGCGGATCCAGAATGAGAAAACACAGCGGCAAGCGCTTCGTCAACAGATAAATTCTTGTGCGCCATGGCGGAAGCTTTCGAACACTTCCTGTGGCCCAGTACAAAAAAAAATCAAATGTAAACCCATGCCATGTGTGCACTCAAGCGGAACGCGGAGGTGTCAGGCAGACTTGGCCATAGCGGCAGCTTCGTAGCACCAGCGAGTACGCATCCCGCATAGTTCTAAGTACGTCAGTCGAACCGGTCGTTTTCGACCGGTTCATGTATGTGTGAAACTCTAAAGGGTTAACGGCCAAGCTTGGCCGCACTAAACACGACACGTTACTTGAACAATTTCAACCCAATTATACTATCTTTCTGTACACACAAATTAGGCTTATACAGACGCTGATAGATAGCTTCCAACACTTTTAACTGTGGTCCATAACCATGACGACCACGGCACAATACAGTGAACGAAGAGTCGGAATACGAATTGCAACAATCAGGACTAGCTAGCAGATGATTGTACACTGAAGACTTGCTACCACGAAACCTACGCACAACACTAACACTCTCACCGGCATTCTCACCATCACTCCCATCACTGCTCTCCGAGTCATATTTTTTTCCCTACACCATTTCTTCATATTTTCATCGTTTTATTGCACATCGTCTCCACCGTTTTTACATTGCATGAATAAAGTACACAAATGTCGGCTCTGCTAGTTTTATTGATTGCGGTTATCAAATTATTGTCTCCTCGCCGTGTGAAAAAAATGAAACTAACAATACGTTCGCACAAGCTGTGACGTGCACTTCCTGTTGACTCTTCACCGACTGACGTGAGATAGTGCAAACCGAGACACTCCATTGTTAGATAGTGTGACTTCCTTTTGTGGAAGACACGTACATGTACATGTAGTTCTGTCACCTTTGGTGAGATAGTGCAGGTACTAGGTAAGGCTTTGTATGAGACATGTCCTGAAAGTGAACTGAAACGAATCTAAAACATCTAAAACATTTGTCAGTTCTTAGCACAGAAATGACATCCTTGTTACATTGTCATGGTTTTGTAGCGATAATTATTGTTCGTTTAGCTCACGAGAATAACCATTTCCCTGATGATACTCTCCTGGGCGAACATGTGGAGAACTGAAGAACTTCAGTGTGTGGCCAAGGATGGAATGCGCCCGAGTGCTCTTTAAATGCTACTACACTAGTACTAGTTGCTGTCTGTTGATCGGCCAAGACCGTGAAACTCAGAGTTACAGCAGAAACGCTTTTGATAGTCCTCTCAAGTGTGTGTAAATGCTACTACATGTGCTTCCCAGTATACCGGTAGTACTGAGTGTTACACTGAGTTTGTCAACACCGTTCCTGAACGATGCTTTTAGAAGGCTTGTACTTGTAGAGGAGTAGTTGCCTAAACTAAAGACGTTTTTAAAAGTAATTGCACAGAGCTGAAACGACCTAGCCTTGTTCCACACAGACATGCTGTATTCTATCTAGTACTACGCTGTGCCTCCGCCATGTGCAACATTCTCAGCACACTACACTGTGACTGGGCGCATCGGCTCCGGTACCTAAGTGCACAGTGTACCTCCCACTCCAGATCTACAGGCTGTAGTACAGGCGTCTATCGCAGGCAAGATCGGTTTTGATCAGCACCGATGACGACATGCATAGCACGGATACTTCGCTGTGAGGTTTCACTAAGGATTAGCATCGGTTGTCTAAGCCCTTACCAATAGGAGGAGTGACATGGTATACACCAAAGATACGTTCTTGTGATTATGGCTGGGATAGTTGCTCGCGAGTCTCACGCACACGCACCTAGGAGTGCTTAGTAAGTTGTGTATTCTGTACGAGAGGGCTTCCTATGGCTACGACCAGGAAATCGGTGTCTGTCTCCCTCCCTTGTCTGTAGCCAGACCGAATTGTCGTCTTCAAAGACTCAGAAAGCGTAAAGGCTGGCGCACGCGCACACACACACACACACACACACACACACACACACACACACACACACACACACACACGAACCCCAAATCGATTACAATATTATTATTGTTATCAACCTGCTTCTGTGTGATAGGTCTTGACGGCCTTAGCCATACTGCCCATAGCATTGTTAGCACAAGTACACCACAAGCACACACGACACTGACGACACCTAGAGTCTTAGAGATCCTACTGCACTGCATGGACCTGTCTTGGTATTGACTATTGAGTATTGCACGTAGTATTGAGTATTGTACGCAGTGGACGCGACCGGAACCGCCAGGCGTGACCTCACAACAGGTGATGTTCTTTGTCTATTGTTCTACCACGTCTAGAGAGAGTGGAAGTACAATAGTCATGTACATGTACATGTACATCAACGGCGCTGCGAATAAGCAACAAAGAACCTGCAGTAGTATTCAATGAGAATGTACGGCTTAGAGATGCTCTGGACCTGTCCTGGGTGAATGCAACGTGTTGTAACAGGACTGGGCAAATATTTACATGTGTTCAACACTATCCTCATAATCGAGGGTATAATGGTGAGCTGGTGACAACAACAGCCATGTCGTGTAGGTCAGGTGAGAGGTTGAGAGCTTTTGCTCAGTCTCTCGTACAATGTACATGATTGGATGCTCTTTGGCTGGCTCGTTATAACTCAACTCTGCTATCTCCGTCTCCTAGCCGTGGCCCACTGCATACACGGCTGTGGGTAACGATTCCAGTGGTCGACCCGGTGGAACGGCCCTGCCTTGGTCTCCCTTGGTGACTCAAGTCCCGTGTTCAAATTCATGTGGTGTTCTGTGTTCTGTACTGCGCACGGCACTTGCCTGTTCATGTTATCCTTCACAAGCGCATGAAGTCTAGGGTCTGCTGCCCCGATCATGTGCACTCGTGCAAGGCGTGTATCTATCAGCGGAATCTCTCTCTCTCTCTCTCTCTCTCTCTCCCTCCGCTCCACAATAGAGTCTGCAAACAGCTTGTCGAATAGCAGGTTAAATAATCACCATCCCATCAGGCGATCATATCAATTATTTGCTGTTCCTGTTGCCCAGTGCTTTCCAACACAAGCACACACACATCAATCTTGTGATAACTAAATTACTTGACACCTCCAAGATCTTCCCAACATCTACACACATCGCAATGCAGTTACAGGACGATTGTGCAATCATTTTATGTTACGTATCATCCACAACAGGGATATTTCTCCACTCCTCCTCCCCCCCCCCCCCCCCTCATGGCAAGTGCTACTCACGGTCCTAGGCATAATTTTTAAGTATTAAGTAATTACAACAAATACAAGTGGAGAAGATCCAATACCGTCATACTATGTACAATGTAGTATGGTATGAGTACTTAGCGTACATATACGTACAGTCATTGTACAATGTAACACTAACAGTTTGCGAACTAATGTGTGGATACAGTTATGTCCAATCATGTACATCCATCCCTGCTGAGCTGCCCGACCTTGCTACATGTACAATGATTATGTGAATTGTGATGTTAGTTCTGGCCAATAAAATCCAGCCCCGTGAATAAATACCGCCGGTTGTACGAACACCAATACCTCTGATCTATGCACTGGAAGGCGTGACTACTTTATTCTTGAGGTCGACTTTTACTCGCCTGCACTGCAATCATGCATGTTCCTTTGAGTAATAGGGTCCTTTCAAAATAATAATTACAATGTAGTTTGTGTCAATGTACTATGACGTATCTTCAGTATCGTATTGTGCATAGTAGGCGTCACACAGTGTTGGACCGTAGTATTAGTAAGTAAGGAAAGGCGTGTTGGGTCATGTTCAATGGGTGAACTCAACTCAGAATTGGTAACACCCATACTATGCTAACCCAAGGCAATGATGCTGCTGGAGCTTGTTGCATGCTGCATACAAACACAGACCCCGATGCCAGCCGAGAACACAATCATTGTTCCACGTCGTTACAGAAAACTGGTCAGAAACACCATGCATCATTCTTGAACTGGTGTAGTCACGTATCCCCACTGCACTAGTACTTACTTTAGTTGCCACACTACTCGAATACACAGAGCATCTCCACTACTAAAATGTTTTAAAAATGAACGACACTCTATGTGTCACTGTGTGTGGTGTTGGCAGTGCGCTGAGTGTCGACACTGATCTCTCGCTTTGGTTTAGAGCCATTGTCACATTACGTCGTTGGATAAAATTAATGTGCTACTCTCAGTTGGTGGGAAAAGCGTAGTCCGCACGCAGCATGTGCGAAGCTAATGCCGATCACTTAAAAAATCATGACCGTAGCGAAGCCAGAACGCTGAAACCAAAGCCACAATCCTAATGCAGCACTGAGTGGGGGGAGCAGAGAGACGCGCAGCACGTAGGTCTCTAGGTCTACTAGCCATTTCCAGTTGGTCGAAACGAAAGCCCGAGCACTGAGGACCTGTCGGAAGCTCAGCGAGGCGAACCGCGGAGGTGCAAGTGCACTCGCTGCTACCAGCACTGCCCGCGCACTCACTTGTTATCTGCTATCGAGCCGGTCGCGAACAAATTGCGATAAATCTCGCAAGTCAGCTCTGTCAGATACTCTAGATGGCTTGCACATTGCCTTGTTATTGTCCTACCGATGGATACACTCCGTATTCCGCTCGAGTGCTTGAAGAAGAAGGGGATCATAGCGCTCTGTGTCACTTCAGCAAAGTAGAAGCAATTGAGTGACGGGTCGAAACCGTTAGTGGCAATCAGAAACAGGATATGGAAAACAGTTTCAGTATGCAGAATATCCTAAGAGCGTCTCATCCGACGCCGACGGACACCATCGAGAATCCACTAATGCATCCGTCCATCAGCGCCAAGGAAGAGGTCTGCCATCAGCTGGGTCAAGCTGTCCATCGCCACCACCATCATCACCAGCAGCAGCAACAGCAGCAGCAAGAACTGCAGCAAAGAGACACTCCGCCAATCCAGCACCACCATGGCCTGAAGGGAGGTGGTAAGCAGAACGGCTTGCCGCACAATAGACTCGTCTCGACGGCCAGTAACAATACTGCCAGCGACCCTAGCTCCGCCGTTCAAGCACTCCCAAACGTACAGCAAAAGCCCGCAGACGAACACACGAACATCAGCGTGTCCGACGTCGACGCAGGAAGCCACCCTGCTGGTAAGCGGAAGTGGCTCGTTATCACTAGCACGGCCTCATAGCTCAGTGCATGATAAAAATGTTATTCTCCATACAAAATACGTAAAATAATGGCCAGCCGTGGTCTAGACGTCTATCGCTTTGACCGTGTAGAAGGGTTCTTGTAGCTCTAATTTAAGCTAAGCGATCTACATGTACATGTGCATAGTGTAATGTGTGCGTTGATAATGCACACTTGGTATATCAGGAGTACACATGTATTGTTGATGATGCAGGCCTGGTTTCGCCCGGCTATGTTATTGGTGCCATTAGTAGTTTTTAAGGACGTCGTTCATTGGAAGATCCAAGGCAGAAGATCTAAGGCAAAGTATCCGAGGCGGAAGATCCGAGGCAGATGATGCAATGCAGTCCAAGGAAATACAATGTAATCAGAGGTGTCAGAGAAAAGGAAGAAAAAAACGAGGTGTCAGTAGTGGCGCTAGGCGTAGTTCTAGTGGTAGTGGTTGTGTTAGTTGCGCAGAACCTAGCTCGCACCTCTGTAGAGTTGCTGGAATGGTGATCGATGGACGCCAAAGGCCCTAGTTAGATCACATACGATAACTGACTTGTTTCCAGAACGCAAACTATTCCGTCTGTGTCCATTTGCTGTCTGTGCAAGAACGTACTTCCGTTCGCCCTGGTCTATCTGCTGCCCTCGCGCAATCTGGCGCCCGATAGCAATCCCGGGGCGGGCGCTCATCGATCGTTTCGTGTCACAGCAGAAGCCTGCGAACGCAATACACCCACGCGTACAATGTACACGTGCCGAGCATTGCACACATTATCTGAGTCTATGGCATTCGCCACAGACTTCACCTGCATTGATCTGGATCCTGGGAATGCGCTGGCGTGGTATGTTTGCCAATCGATACCATCACATGTCCGCTGCCTTTTCCCGATATTCGCAGATATTCGCAAGGCCGGGTCCCAAACACAGGGTCTTGTACTTGTACTTGTAGTCAGTCTATACAGCAGAATCAGGCAGGGGAAGATAACCAATGATAACAGTGGAGCAATGGAAGATAAACTGCACAACACGATGATTTAGCCACAAAGGGTACCAGTACCAGGACCAAAGTCCAGTCTCGAGGACTTTGAAAACGGAAGGGGTTGTGTAGACAAAAAACGCTTTATAAGTTCCTAGACGCGCACTCAGCTTTTTTATGCATACCAGGGCCTAGGGAGATACTACATAGCAGATCAGGTTCAACGTGTAACAGTTGAATCAGGGAAGTCCAATTCATCAGTCCCTGGTGGAAATGTGTTGTGGCAAGAGACCAAGACGGCAAGAGTTGGTTGTAGTGCATGCTACGGAACTGGTCTCTCATTGCACGTACTTCATCCGCTGAAGTCACGTGTACATGTACATGTACATGTATGTCCCGCAAAGGAGTGTTGGGATTTCAAAAGATTGACCACGGAATGTGTCAAGAGCTCAGTAAGCCGGTATGAGCTGCGACCATATGAAGCTACATGCACATAATAGAATTGAAAATATCATAAAATGTCTCTATGAACAGCAGCCACAATCATGGTATTAGAGTATAGAGGGTCAGAACCGGGTCTAACACCCATACGGTTCAGATGCTCGTCAAGATCGGAGCTATAGAGTATAGTACAGATCTACCAACCGTGGATGGTTGTAGTGACGTCACTGTTTCCGAACACGATGGTCTCCACCGTGTCACATGCTGTCACCCAATAACATGTACAATCATGTGCACGTGTGTGTATACAATGAGCACAGTACACACTACTGTATTGTGTAACATCATCATGCCTATCATCTACTGCACCACCATGCCTAATTTGCAAGCAATGACTGACTGGAACGCTGTGTACATATAATTATGTGTTTATGTTTGTCCATGCCTGCACTATAGATGACGCCTGCAGTGAGAGTGAGTCCTCCAGGCGACGGCGGACACTATTCTCCAGAAACATGACAGCCGTACTGGAGAATGCCTTCAAGCTGAAGAAGTACATCTCACCACAGGAGCGAGAGAAGCTCGCCCAGCAGCTTGGCCTGCGCAACGCTCAGGTAAAAATCTGGTTTCAGAATCGGCGCTACAAGGAGAAGCGGTTCATTCAGGAGCACAGGGGCAGCGGCATGTTTGACCCGCACATGCAGCATCCGGGCATGATGCCACCTGGCTCGTATCCACTCTACCCGCAGCCTAATGCCGCGTACCAGGGCCCAATGTCGCAGCATGGCTCCACTACCATGCTCGCCGGTCCACCCACTCCAATGTACAATCCGCAAGCGCACCATCAGTTGCCAACGCCCGGCTTGACATCGTATCTGTCCACAACTCACCTGGCATACCCACCACCCGGCACACCAACCTCGTTACCAAGTCATCCCCGACCTGCCTTTCAAATGTACGGCCAGCCGGCATCGGGCACCAATCAGGGCCACCCCGCCGCAATACAATACCAGGGGTCTCAAGACCCGTGGGCGCCCGCCCGGAGTCAGCAGCCAGCAGGCTACAGCGTCAGCATGCCGCCCGGGCCACCCACCCCGGTGGGCGCGATGGCCCCGTACAACTACGGTCAGCCTCACATGGGCTACAACTACCCACCACCACCACCACCGCCAGGTGCACAGGGACCACCATGCATGAGCGGAGCCACACACCCGCACCAGCAGCACCAGGCAGCGCAGGGCCCACCACCGCCGGCAGCTCCCATTATGCACTTCACACCGCAGAATACCACTGTTGCCCGACCACCACTCAGCACCAACCAGCAAGGAGTGTACACAGGTCCGCAAACCCAATAGTAAACGGCAGTAGACCCATGGTACATGGTGTGTGGTGTCTGGTGTCTGGTGTGTGTGTGTGCTGAGTGTAGAACTGTATACAGACTGCAGCTGATAGATGCGTGTATAATTCTTTGCGATACCAGGACCACACAGTGTCAGGGATCTCAAGACCCATGGGTATATAATCGGTATTTGCACCTGATCCCAACCACTATCTGAGTGATGGCGAGAGCCGATACATTTCAAAGGCTACAGTACGGGAGCACAAGTACCATGGCTGCAGTCACCTGTGTAGCGTCTAGCCAGCGTGTAGCCCGTATCATGTGTGTCCTGTGTCCGAGGCAAACCCTTGAAGAAAGACTTGATGGAATGGTCACAAATCTTTTATTTTGTTGTGGCCGAGTTTTCCTTTTCTATGAACTATGGATGCATGTTCAAGTTATATTGTTGGATGTTGAACCAACATTGTGGACTGTGTCAAATTGAGAGTACAATCATGTATTATTGTAATTGAGAAACAACGTCTGTACCAATACAGTTACTATGTTGCAGTGTCCCGGTCCAAGTAAGTTGTCAGTGTGTATAATCTACATGTATACAGTTTACGATCGTATCATCATCTGACGTATCGTATCATCATCTGACGTAGTTACGTGTGTTAGTGTATTAGTGCTCACGACACATGTCAGTCAGTCTCTCCATCAGGTCACTGTTGTGTTGGCTACTTAGTATTATTACTTAGCATACCACACTCCGTAGTTACGTTCTTAGAACACACTCCGTAGTTACGTTCTTAGAAGTTTGATACATTTGTCGTGTGTGCTCGTGGCTTTATCTATCCTGTGAGTTTCTATCTGTTGAACATGGTGATGTTGATATTGCTCATGTACTCATGCCATGTTCTATATTCCGTAGTCTGTAAATTCCTGCAAGAAGTGTTCTCTTGCCAACGTTTGTTTCAGGTCTTTACATGTATGTTCAAATTGATTACACTTTTTGTGAAGAGACGGAATTAAATTCTCGAATGATCACTCCGATCTATTATTAAAGGGCAAGTAACTTCGTTTCAACGTCCGAAGGACCTATCAAAATGTCGGTGAGAGACTGAGAGTAGTTTCACATTTAGGTTAATATAATTGTTTGCATAACCATGCGGGACAGCCAAGTTGGTTCCAACTCTTGCCAACCCTTGCATCTATCTGTCAAAGTAATTAGTTCGTTCCACACTCCACATCCCATGATCACAAAATACCAAAAAAAGGAGTTGTAAATAGTCACGTGACAAAGATGCGAAGCCCGCACTATGTCTGTAAAGCCGGTACTGTATAAACACATGACGATGTCTGTTTCGAGGAGAAGCTTACACCTTCACTGATACAATGTCATGTACATGTCATGCCCCTAAAACCTATCGCTACCTATCACGCCACGAAAACCAGCCGGCCATCAGTCCCATCACACTCAGGGTGAGAGTTACTAGTAGCGCCACACTGTTCTTCAGTCACTGATAATGCTTCCAGCGGGACAATCCTAGAAAGGCGACACTGGAATTCTCGGATTGCTACTTTTAGCCACTCATGTCGGTCGCAACCAGGCAGTGCAGTGTATTGGAGGCGCTTTTGGTGATAACATTAGCCACAGTTACAACTCTAACATAGCGCCAGCACGGAAAGGGTTAAGTCGACAGAAAGCTGGAGTAGAGTGGAGTATGATTCGACTATGATAAGTATGAAGCTGTGAAAACGGTACTTGTACTAGGAGTAATAGTACTGTCTGACGAGTGTTTTTCATGGACCGTGTCCGTGTTGCTACTTCTACCCATGGCGTGTTTGTATGATTCTTTGCTTCTAACTAAACACTTGGAGTTTGATACAAGTCATGTGCTGAGTCTCCTGAGGTCTAGAAGTCTGACGTGATACTGCACAACGGCAGGTAGGTACGAAGCGGAGTTGCTCTTGACGAGAAGTTTCATTGAAAATGGCCAATCATCTGAGACACAAAGAGTCAAATGCAATAAGGATCATGTAGATTGGTTCCAGATGTTTAACAATACCACTAGTGACGTAGTGGCACTACTCCCTGGTCTGAACAGGGAGTAGTACAATACCACTAGTGGCACTACTCCCTGGTCTGAACAGGGATTGTTACAGTGTGCGATGTGCAGAGTCGCACGTGTGATCAGCGGTCCCCGAATGATGGTCTCATTCGAACCAGCTGGTATCCCGACGGTTCACCGAAAACGCGTTCACAGTACGACCATTCACAGAACGACGTTTCACCGAAAGACATTTCACAGAGTGTAAGATTTAGCGACTGTTCATTTCGCCGAAAATCAGGTTCACAGAAAACACGTTCATCGAGAGTATATTCACGGAATGTCGGTTCACAGAATAGCAGTTCTGCCGAATGGCAGCTTCACCGAAAAAAGGTTATGCTGAGGACATCGATATTATATCGCATTCGAATCCTCTAAAGAATAGCAGTTTCACCACATAACAGTTTCACCGAAAACATGCCACAAATTCCAGCGACTCTGATATACATGTACATCGCATTTGAGTTCTTTTACTTGTTCATTTAATTCAATGATAGTTCTCGTATCATGTCAGTTGTTACAATCGTAAATGTGTAGGTTTCCGCAAACCCACACGGCATGAGTGGTGGAACGTGCACACAAGAACGGCTAATGGAGAACACAGAACGAACAACATCTAGGAAGGTTGGCATCGCCGATTTTTAGTTGTAGTAAACTGCCATCATCCGACATTGTGGAAGCTGATCGAGAACTTAAGGAACGACCAACGAAGCACTGAAGAAAATCTGGAAAGAATGCGTGCTGGGCAGTATGGGCCAACAAGGAAGGAACGGTACAGGAAGGTTGATCAGCGCCTGCGCACTGTAGTGGCCACATTTGAGCAACGCCCGCCACTGGAGTTTTGCGCGGTATTGCCCATAATCTGGCATTCTTTGTGGAGCCGTGATGTAATTATTTCCATCAAATGGCACCACAAGTCTTCTTCTCCAGTGTTGCTTTGCATTTAAATTCATTGTGTTGTGTTAGTTTTAACCGGTAAGAGAGGGTTGAGTACCTTTCACTACACATTTTATAAGCGGCCTTGATTTGGGTCAAATATAAGTAATTTTCGGCGAACTGTCCATTCGGTGAAAAAATGCGTCTGTGAATCGGGATTCGACGAAACAGAATTCTGTGAATGAAATTCTGTGAAAAGATATTTCGGTGAATCTGCAGTGGCGGTGAACTGTCATTCTGTGAAATGTCTTTCGGTGTAACGTCGTTCTCTGAATGGTCGTTCTGTGAACGCGTTTTCGGTGAACGGTCGTAGATCCAACCAGCTGCGACCCAAGATCGAAATAATTTTTGAGGGGGTTGCTTTGGGTGCCAAAGCACCCCCTCCCCCTCTGCCTACACCCCTGCGACCCTTCTCACCTCATCAGCTTCCCTCACTGGCCTGTAAAAAAACTACTTGCGTGCTGGTATTCAGGACGTTTTTTGAATGTCATCCTGGAGGCTGTCCCCAAATCTATCAAAAACAAAGATCATGCTCTTCCCGCCCCAGCCGGAATTTACATCCCTTTATCCTCCCCAACTTTCCACATCCAATTGACATAGTGTCTTCACACAAACACCTTGCATTGTAATTGACTGCACTGTCGTGGGTGCCCCACATAGAATACCTCTGTCAAAAATCCAGTAAATCCTTAGGAATCCTCTCCCACCACTGCTCCTACCTCCCAAACTCTTGCAAGCTTCTTTTTTTATTCTGCCTACCTTTGCCCAATATTCGATTACGCCGATACGTCTTGGGCTGGATTATCCTCGTCCGCTGCTGCAAAGCTTGAAATACACCACAGGAAAATCCTTAAAACTCTCCTCCGTCAACCCCACATGCTCTCGTCATCCCGCTCTTTATAAACTCGCTCACACAACCCCGTTATCAAATAGACTCAGTGCACACCTGGCTGTTCTTGTTCATTCTTATTAAGCTTGAGTTGTGCCTTCATCTCAGGTGTTTAAAGTTAATTGGTTCTCTTCTCTGAGAACTAGAAATTCGCTCTTACTCCCCAAGTGTAACTCATTCACTCTTTTGCGCTCCCCTCTCTTTATTGCATTTTCTGTTTGGCTTACTCTGCCCAGAGAAGTTAAAGATCTGATTTCTCTCCGCCTGTTCAAAATCCGTGCCGCCCCTTATACATTTACTGCGACATAAGTAGGTCATTATCCACATGTCCTTAGGGTCTCTGTTGCTTTTGGCTTCTTCTCTTTCTGTACGGAGTTGTTGTTGCTGTTGGTTTTGCTGCTCTTCTGCGTTCAATCCTAACCTTTGCTTATATCCGTACTTATCGCCGTGGTTGGCTTTCACTAGGCCTCGACCAAATATGCTAAAGAAAAGAGCATAATAATTATGCTCGTCGCATATCAGGGAAAACGTCCATAATTATGCCAAAGGCTTAGCAGGATCTGCAAAAAGATATGCCAAAATATGCTCGACATATGCAGAAAGTGTGGATCATTTCAGTAAAATTACAGCCTTGGATTGGCTTCATGACTACCATGCTTATGGTTCAAATCAAAACACATGCGGAATAGTATGGCTGGAGTGTGTCCCCAGCAACCGTAGCGATAGTGTTCACCCATGGGGAAATGTAGCAAACGCCTCAACCATTCCAAATTCATCCATAAAAGACATTTCTGAACGCATTTTGTCCATAATATGAATGTTTTGTCCTCATTTTCTTCAGAATATTTGAATTATATGCTGGCTTCATTCCAATATTCCCTTTGTCGCTCAATATGCCATAATTATATGAACTGTCTCACAAAAATATGCCGAAGTATGCGCAAGCATATTTTGTCGGGGCCTAGCTTTCACCCACTCTCTTTACATTGGCCGGTGTTTCCACTGAGTCTTGAGATGTAATATAAATATACTTTAAAAGTAAATATAATATATCAGTGCTAGCAAGAGTATAATATGTTGACCTTTGATAAAGAGCCACACTCATTCGTGACCACACCATCAACAGTATCAAAATTCAAATAAATTTGCTGTGACTCAATAAATACCACCGCACTTTTCCATACCGCACTTAGGGAGGGCCGCCCGAATATGCTTGCGCATATTTTCGCATATTTTGTCCTTTTGACTCAAGGTCGCATAAAGTAGCAAATCTAGCATATTGTACCAAATGTAGCATATTTTGCTACAAGGAGCAAAGAATTCGCATAATTATAGGCATAATTTTAGGGCTGATTGCGGAAATGGACAAGAAAACTTACCACGGCACGCTCGGTCAGGGAACACTTCCAAACTTAGCCCGGAAGGAAAAATGCTCATCCAGACACGGGGCGAAAATTTAACCCGAGAAGAGAGTGTCTGCGACTCAAGGTCGCATAAAGTAGCAAATCTAGCATATTGTACCAAATGTAGCATAATTTGCGACAAGGAGCAAAGGATTCGCATAATTATCACTGATATCAGTTCTGGTGATCAAGCATATTTCGAGCATATTTTCTGCTTTTGTGTGATGTCGAAGCATATTTTGAAATAAGTGGCCAATATGCGAAAAGTATAATATGCGAAATTTTTGAGCATATTTGGGCCCTCCCTAACCGCACTGCATTTTTTCCCTAAAAGAATTTTTTTATAAACAAACAGTATTTATTATTGGCTAATAAATACTGTTTTTAATATACCCCTTTTGAGGTAAAGTGAGAGTCAACATACAGGGTTCTAGCCAGGTCAAAATAGTAGGGGGGTGGGCATGGGAAACAGTTACCCTACAGTGGTGGTCAAAAGTTTTGACCCACCATGCAGATTTTTCGAATTCTGAAGGTTTGTGCTGTAAGCTACTAAATTTTTGGTCGAGGACCTCTGAATCAGGCTGAATAGTGAAGTAGAAATGAAAAATGCTGAAAGACGGAGTCATCTGGGGACTACTGTGGTCAAGTATATGTAAAAGGCGGGTCAAAACTTATGGCCAACGCCCGCACTATCATAAACCGCCAACAGGATACACGGAATAGTGTGATTTCTAAAAAGTA